TTACTGATATGGGTTCAAGGTCAAAGAATAAATTCCCATTTAACTTGCAAGCTTACTGAAATGTCTAGCTGTCTGCCCTAGAACTTCAAGAGAAAGTTTAGGGGGACAATTGACTAAGAATTGAAAGCAGGGTGAGGAATAAGGGGGAAAACTTCAGTGAAGGCTACAAATTCCAAAATGTCCCAAGGAGCCACAGTAAACAGCAACAGCAGCAAATCCTGGGATATAGACTCAGGGCTCAGTGCTTCCCACAACAACCCAATCCAATCCCATCCTATATAGCACATGTGTCAAACACAAGGCCCGCGGGCCAAATCCGTCCCGCCAGGCCTTGCAATGTGGCCCGTACCGCGCTGTCATCACTGCACTCCGCTGCGTTTCCATCACAATGGCAGTTTATGACTGTTCAGTAAACCATTCGGCCTGCGATTTAGGCTGGATTTTAGATTTTGGCCCCTTCTCTGATTGAGTTCGACACCCCTACTATATAGTAAGCCCTAATTTGCAAATCGACCAAATGGCACAGTGACCAGCAATACAACAGTCGCTATGATGTCCACTGACCACCAGGGGGCAGATGCTCAATGCAGGAGCTGCCCCCTGGAGGTCAGTGCACTCCCACAGGGAGAGTGACTCTCGGCCAGAAGCCGGGCTCACAGCGCAGTGGTGGTGGTGGGAGCCTCTCCTGCCTCTGCTACAGCCGGACAGTAAGGAGCCAGGGTCCCAGACTGTCAGAGGGTGCAGGCTGGGCTGAGGAAACCCTCACCCCCAGTGCATAGATTTCATGCACAGGGCCTCTAGTATAGACAGACAAAAAAATAAAAAGCAAAATCCACAGAGGTACTAAGAAAGGGCCTAAAAATAACTGTTCTTGTTTGCATCCATGAGGAAAATAGATACAGAAGAGTTAAGATCATCAGCTCAAAGGAATCAGGTAATGTCACTGCTCCACGGGTTATTTTAAATCTCATTGCCTCTCCTATTAATGAACAATGTGAACTCCCTTGATTTTACCATAACAAAGACTTTTGGAGCCCAAGGTGCTCCCCAGCCCAGGAAATGTGACCAGAGCCTTCCTTCTAATTTATGAATACTTATCTTCAATCAAGATAAGTATTCATAAATTAGATAAAGCCACCAGCAACTTCCCAGGACAGCTATAATGTAAAACCTATGAAATTTAGCCCTTTGTCTTCCAAGTTGCTTTATCTGTTCTGGTAGGCAAAGAAAAGTAAGTAATCTTCATGTACTGATCTATTTTGGAGTGCCAACTAATGCATCTTTTATTTTAGCCTCTCAGCTGCTATGGGCTCAAAGAACTTCCTTAGAGTGACAGGCAAAAAAATGAGGTCCATTTCTCTTCTCCGATACACTAAAGCTGAGGAAATAAAACACAGCCATTTAAAATGCCGTTACCATGAAGCCCAGTGTCTTGAAAGCTCTGCTCATTTTGCCTCCTGTGGGACTGTAACAATTTAGCAGCAGCAGCAGCAGCAGCAGCAGGATGCCCCTAAGCAAGATAAGATGCAAGGACTCCTTGCTGGACTTCACAAAAACAGCCAAGAGACCCATCCACTCACGTGTCCCCAAGTGAACCGGTAGTAGGACTGTAACCAGAGACGCGAACTTGGCCTAATGACAAACCAAGCCAGAGAGTAAAGGACACTTTAAGGGATGTTCCTATCCGTGCTCTCTGCTATGACCTCATGGGAGGATTCCAAGATATGAAAAATGTAAATAACCTTTTTCCAAAACTCCTAAATTCCCACTCCATTTTCAGCATACATAACCAAGTATTGGAAAACCATACATAAACAAGTTGTTTTCTTATTAACAGATCCCAATGTTTACATAAACCTCTAAGGAAGGCAGAAAACCTGTGATATTTTTATTTCACTATATTTTCTTTTGATTTGTTCACCTTGGTGGTACATAATAAACATCTAAGCTTTATTATATTTAAAATAAACCATCATAAATATGTCTAGCATATAAGTCTATTTGGTAAGAATTCAGCTTTTATAGTTAAATTTAGTGGATTGTTTTTTTTTTTTGGTGTTAGATGAAATAATTGTGCATTTTACAACCAATGGCATCTTTTAAAAAACATTTATTTTAATTTGTATTGAACTTAATGGGGTGACATTGGTTAATAAAATTATATAGGTTTCAGGCATACAATTCTGTAATTCATCATCTGTATATTGTTTTGTGTATTTATAACCAATGACATCTTAAATTTCATGAAATAAGGCAGTTAACATTAAGTCAACACCCTTCCTTATTTTGTTATACTGCTACCAAATACCATATTTTGGGGTAATGTAGTCACATTACAGCATCACCAGTTTTATGTTTCTTAATGTATCTTCTTAAATATCTTCAGTTTATTATAATTTTATGATAGAACATCCTCTAAGGCTGTAATTTTTTTTTTAAGGAAATGAATTTAATTTAGATAGGGGAGCACTGAAAAGGAACCCAAATTAGGGATAGTCCCTACATCAGATATTTACACTGAACAGAATGAATTTAAATTCCATACAGCCCAAGACCCTACTTATAATGCAAAGAACTCTTTTCACATCAAGTTAATTCTTACAATTAATTTAAGCTTGGGGTAGTTGTATTTCTCATTTTGCAATCCCTTAATGATGCAAATGATGTTTAATTCTAAATATCTGTAAAGAACTAGGACCGATGTGAAGATTCTTAAGTGTGAGCAGCACTCACACTTAAGTGTGACAGGAGCAGCACAGCGTTGATGAGCCACTAGGGTGGAAAGCCCCAGCAATGGGCAAAACTGGGAAAACAAGGACCTTGTCCCCAGGGTAACCTCTCACCTAGCTAGCGTTTCTCAGATCAGGTGGCTGACCCTCCGTGACCTTTCCTCCCCTAGCATGTGGCTAGTCTGTGGGTTAGACCCTCTTAGAGGGGGAATGAGTAAGAGGGCCGGGGGATAGCCCTTACACGTTAAACCTCCAGGACTTGAGGTTCTGATCCACGTCAAATACATACAGGCCTCACCTGTGTTCCAGCTCCAGGCCCAGGATAGCAGCAAAACCAGAGAAGCCAAGCCATGTAACTAGAGACTCAATAACCAGGTCCAATCGCCAATAACATTGTTACTGCGCTGACTAATGCCTACTGGTGCCAACCAATCAGTGAAGACTGCAGCCCTGGACAGACACACCTGGAAAGCTGATGAGTATTCTATTGGGATCCTCCAAAGACCTCCAACTGAACACCCTCCAGCAGTCTATGGAGAGGCTTCCCCTTTACCTACCTCCTTCCCCAGCTGCGTTTGCCTTCCTTCTCTTTTCTCAGCTCCAAGGGCCCTTCGTTAGCCTCTGTGATATGTTCCCTGAGCCCATGCAGCTCAGCTGGCTCACTGGTTCTACCTCTCCGACTTTCTAAAATAAACTTCTGCTGGTATCTGAGTCTTGGCTCTGAATTCTTTCTTGGCCAGAACTCAAGTACCAAGGATGCTGAGCCAAGGTCCGATCGCCAGTAACATTCTGGGTGCCATCTTGCTGCCAACCTGAGGCCACCAGACGCTGGTATCCCGAGTTCTCTGACAGCTCAGAGACCTACTACACTCGGTCAAGCCTCAGCTCCCAGCAGGCCAGGCACGTGGAACACTGGCTGCAGTAACTCACCTTTTCTTCTATCTACTCATTCCGCCTCACTCAATCGCTCTTATGTTCCTAACTTAAACAGTAAAAATATCTCAGAATCCTGACTTCAGATCTCATGTACAAATCCTACCTCACCACCTCAAATCACCCAGACTGAAGACATAAACAGGCTTGGTATAAAGGTATGAAATATTTGGGAAGCAGACTGAGAGGATTGTAATCAATTAATCTGCAGCGCAGCTGGTTAAGAAAAGGGGCTCCGGCCCCAGCTGGTTTGCCTCAATGGATAGAGCATTGGGGTCCCAGGTTCGATTCCAGCCAAGGGCACATGCCTGGGTTGCCGGCTGATCCCCAAAAAGGGGCGTGCAGGAGGCAGCCAATCAATGATTCTCTCTTATCAATGACGTTTCTCTCTTTCTTTCCCTTCCTCTCTAAAATCAATACAATGTATTTTTTTAAAGGGGGGTGGGGGGAGCCCTCTCCGGAACCTTTTCGTTATTTTTGTTTCAGGATTGGGAGCGTGAGCACCCACAACTGTGTTCCAACCCCACTTCCAACCACCTGCCCCCGCGGTAGCCAGAATCCAGACTGTTCTCGAAAAACACTCACTCAGCAGCTCCTTGGCCGGTCCGGCCTGGCCATCTCGAGCCACTGCAGCTGCCCAGCAGCGTCAACAGCGCCCAAGCAGCTGCCCTCTCCCTTGCTGCTGCTTAATTTAAGGAGGAATAATAGTCCCGAGAAGAATGAGGGTATTCCTCGGGAGGGGGGGCGGAAGGATGGAGGAAGGGACGTCTGACGTGCAGAGCATGAAACAAGCCCCTCACTCTTCCTCTCTAGCATTTTCCGGGGTAACTGTGGGGAGGGGGCGCTGGCCAGGCCAATGGTGAAGACACACAATCACCTCGGACCCGGACCAGTACTCGCTGGGCTGTAATTAAGGAAGAAGAGGAGGAGGAGGAGGAGGAGAGCAGGGCTTTGGAGATGCCAAGAGCTGATTGACAACAATGAACACAAGTTAAGGCGGGGGTCACGGTCGCCGCGCCGGCTCCCCCACCCCGAAACAGACCTCGGATTCCCCCAGGGACCAAGTCTCCTCCGCAGGGGCGACCTTCCCTCCCCTCCGCTGGGAAACGACCGGCGCCTCAACTCCCCAGCCAGGCGGAAGCCGGAGGGGAGGCCCGACCTCCGAGGGCGCCCCTTCAGGGGGTCCATCCGCACTGGGTCGCGAGCCTAGCGGGAGGGGGGTCCGCGGAGGGCGGGGCATCGCCCCAACAGCCAGGAGCTGCATCCTGGGGGGGCGGGCTCCCCACGGCCACAGAGCTGGAAAGCTCGCCCCTTCCACGCCACCGTCCTCCGGTTTACCTCTTCGCTCCTTCCTCGTCGGGCAGCTCTGGCTCGGTCGCCGCCATTACCACATCGCACTCCGCGGTAGCCGCCATCTTACCGCCTAGACCAGAGAGCCGGGTGGGAGGCCGGCGGTGAAGAAGAGCACTTCCGGCCGGGGCATCGAGTCGCGCCGCGGCGCTGTGCCCAGAGAGGCTCCCCCGGGCCCGTCTACCAGCGAGAGGCTCCGCTTGGGGCCAGAGCGGCCGCCCGCCCCCGGAGGTCCACGGCGGTCTCCGCGCGGGGGCGGGGCCCCAGGGACGGTGCCTGTGCGTGGGGGGCGCCACTTTGGCCGTGGATCGAAACGGGGTACAGGAGGGTGTCGCCTCTGTAGACCTTGGCTGTCCTCAGTCTTCCCGGAGCCCCGTTGCCATAGCAACCCTTGAGCGTCTTCTGTAAGGTTGAAGGGGAGGTCTGAGTTGGGTGGGGACCCGGTCACCCAGGACTCTGGAGGGAAAGAGCCCCCCCGCCGCTGCCTTCCCGGCCTCGGAGCGTGTCCCCAGCTTCCTCCCGGGAAAGGCAAGAAGAGACACTTGGAGCCCGGTTCCTCCAGCTTTCATCGGCCCCTTGGAAGCCCTGCCCAGTCAAGCCTGGGGTACGCGGTGCGTCTTCACCCCGCGCCTTTCATCCCCCCGGCTCTCCACGCACCAGCTGGTTCATCACCCCAATGACGCTGACCCTTTTATGATGCTGCTTTCATGTCAGCCGCCTGGGAGTGCCATCTCAGCATCAGGCCCGTGCAGAGTGGCACAGCGCCCCAGACCCTGCCCTGGAGTTTATAAGGCAGCTCGCAGGGTGAGGTCCCTGCCCTGGTGTCCCCAGCATTCCCACCCCTTGTAAACACTCTCTGCTCACCACGTTTGTCTTGCTGAATGCAGTCTGGACTGGGGACTCTTCGAGGGCAGGGACACAGCCTAGCCATCTTTGTGGTACTTAGCCTCACCCAAACCAATAATATTTGTGGACTTGAATTAAATTGGGGTTTTCTGCCGAAACCGGTTTGGCTCAGTGGTAGAGCGTCCGTCTGCGGACTGAAGGGTCCCAGGTTCGATTCCGGTCAGGGGCATGTACATTGGTTGTGGGCACATCCCTGGTGGGGGGTGTGCAGGAGGCAGCTGGTCTATGTTTCTCTCTCACTGACGTTTCTAGCTCTCTATCTCTCTCCCTTCCTCTCTGTAAAAAATCAATAAAATATATTTAAAAAAATAAATAAATAAATAAATAAATTGGGGTTTTCTGAGGGTAAATTGGGGGAGTTTGAGGTTAAAATTTGAGACATAGCCCTACCTGGTCTGGCTCTGTGGACAGAGCATCAGCCTGCGGACTGGAGGGTCCCAGGTTCGATTCCGGTCAAGGGCATATTGCCTGGGTTGCAGGCTTGATCCCTAGTAGGGAACGTGCAGGAGGCAGCCGATGAATGATTCTCTCTCATCGTTGATGTTTCTATCTCTCTTTTCCTCTCCCTTTCTCTCTGAAATCAATAAAGATATATTAAAAACAACTTTTGAGATATATGGGGAATTAATAGAGGGGCAAGGGAACTCAAAAGGGATCTTATCCTCTTCCTCCAGTAAAACTATGCCATTGTCCTTAGGCTGCTTGCATGATCCTTGCCTATCAGAGTGCCAAGGAAGCTGACACCAAACTTACCGTTAGGTAGGGGAGAATGGGAAGGCTCAGTAGGTTGGAAGAGAGAGGTCATTTATCTAGCCCTCTCCCAAGACCCTATTCTAGCTTGGGAGGACACAGACTCACCACCTGCCCTGCCTGCCAGTGGCTCACAGTCTGCAATCTAATACAAGAGATAGTCCTTCACCATCTTCCCAATTTGTGTTCTCTGTTGATATCTCCAACCTACATCTCTCTTCTGAGTTCAGATCTGTATATCCAACTATCTACTGGTATCTTTTGGATGTTTCCCAAATCCCTAAGCTTAACATATTTAAATGGAACTGTCATTCTCTCCCCAGCCCTCCACAACAGAAAAAACAACAAATGCTGCACTTGATTCTCTTCTGCTAAGCTCCTTATCTTGTTGAATGGATTCATCCTTCACCTGCTCACCAAACGAGACAGATGGAAAACATCATGAATTCCTCTCTCGTTCTCACTCCTGACTCCCAATTTAGCATCAAATCTTGATTCTCTTACCAAAAGTCTCCCAAATCTATCATCTTTCCATCCCAGTTCTGGCTCTTGATATCTTTTTTAACTTGGAATGGTATCCAAGTTTCCCCACTGGCACCCCCTGGTCTCATCTCTTTGCAATCTTCAGTCCTCTGCCAGACTGGACCTTAAAAGCAAAAATGGACCATGTCACTGCACGAAAACCTACCAATGGCTTTCCCTCGCTGTTAGGATATAGTTTGAAGCCTTTGGTCTACTACATGCGGCCTTTGATTATTTGGTTCCCTTCTACCATCAATATTGAACCCATGTACTTGTAGTTCCAGAAAAATGCCATGATTCTCTGCCATGTTTTCTTTTTTTAAATAAATAAATATATATATAATTTTTTTTTTTTTTTTTACAGAGAGGAAGGGAGAGGGATAGAGAGCTAGAAACATCAATCAGCTGCCTCCTGCACATTCCTGCTCCTGGGGACGTACCTGCAACCAAGGTACATGCCCTTGATGGGAATCAAACCTGGGACCCTTGACTCCGCAGGCCGACGCTCTATCCACTGAGCCAAACCGGTTAGGACTTTGCTATGCTTTCTTCATCCTTTTCTCCCAAGTCCTTCCAACCTCAACACAGACATAACCGACTCCACTGCCCACCGCCCCCGCGTTAAATGCCCCCACGTCTGCAGTGTCCCTGTGGCCCCTCCGTAGCAGCCCTCACCGCGCCGTCATGTTTGGGTTAGACGTCTGCTCCTCCAGGCAGTGACTTTCCAGCGGGCAGCGAGGGTGAAGAACTCGTCTCCTTTTCCAGGTACGCGGTCCTGTAGCTGCACAGAATCGGTGCTCACGATTCACTGGATGAATAATCGATTGCATCAATGAAGCATCACTGCACTCCGGCAGCCTTAGGAGAAAGGACACCTGGGCATCCGACCAAGAGAACGGCGCCCCGCGTCCAGGGAGCCCAGGGCCCCGCGCGCCCCGCCGCGCCCCGCCCGCCGGGCCCCGGGCGTCAGGTCCCCCGCCGGCCTCTGGGGGCGCTGGGCGGCCGGCGCCGGCTCCCTGCCGCCGGAATTCGTCTTGGGGGACAGAAGCTGGGGTTGGGGGGCGGGACCGGACAGAGCCCGGATGCACCCGGAAGGAGGCGTCCCGGCGGCCGTGCTGCCCCTCCCCTGATCTCGTGCTCCTGGGGCCGGGCTGGGGCGCTGCGAGGGCCCGGCAGGTGCGGAGCTGGGTGGCAGGTCTTTGCCGCCGTAAGTTCCTCCGGGGATGGGGGTGGGGGCGCCCCCTCGAGGGGAAACCTGTGGCGGAGGCCCCCGGGCTCTCTCTTGGGGTACCTGCTAGTCGCGGAGCTCAGTCTGTGGGGCGCTTTGGGCGGGGTAGGAGGGTCTGTACCTGGAGTTTCCTCCGCAGAGGATTCTGTTTGGAACCCCTTTGGGGAACGATCTCTCTGTTCTCTGGAGGAATCTGGGGCTGCTTGTGGGAAGCCTGGCTTTTGGGATGCCTTCGAGGTCTCTGGGGAGAAGGGGTTTCTGTGTCTGAGCCCTCTCTTCTGGGTCTGCCAGCCCAAGGGCGGCAAGGAGCCTTTCTTTCCTTAGACTCCTTCACTTATTCTTTTTTTTTTTAATTTTTAATATATTTTATTGATTTTTTACAGAGAGGAAGGGAGAGGGATAGAGAGAAACATCAATCAGCTGCCTCCTGCACAACCCCTACTGGGGATGTGCCTGCAACCAAGGCACTTACTTGCCCTTGACCGGAATCGAACCTGGGACCCTTCAGTCTTCAGGCCAATGGTCTAGCCACAGGCCAGTGGTCTATCCACTGTGCCAAACCGGCTAGGGCGAGTTAGACACATCGTTCCAACATACACCCTGACTCGAGGAGAGGGCAGTGCTGGACCCCCGAGGCTCCCCGTGCAGCTCAGAACTTGGGCTCAGCTTGGATCCCCTCACCAGGGTGCTGCTGCTCTGTGAGGCTGGAGGCCAAGCATGGGGAAGAGTTGCAAGGTGGTCGTGTGTGGCCAGGCCTCTGTGGGCAAGACGTCGATCCTGGAGCAGCTCCTGTACGGGAACCATGTAGTGGGTGAGTGTTGTTTGGCGGGAGGGGTGGGGCGTGCATGGGGAGGGGACGGTGGAAGAAATTGAAGAACAAGGACTAGGATTTAATAACACAGAGAAGCCAAAATCTGCTCCTGGAGTATACAGTCTGCAGCATGCCCTCCAGCTCTCCAATATTGAGATCCGGAGGAAGGAAACGGTATCTGGGATAAGGAGGAGGGACTCCCGAGGCTCACTTTTGCTTAGCATGGTGTGAACACGTGGTACATATCTGTTCCCCCAAAACCATTCCAGTCCTGCTGGATGCGGTCTGGCCCCCACCTTCCTCTCCCTCCCTGTCCGGTCAGCCAGGTTGTCCCGTCTCCCTGCTCCCTACAAAGAAGCGTCCTCCTTTTCTCTCAGGCTCTGAGATGCTCGAGACCCAGGAGGACATCTACGTGGGCTCCATCGAGACCGACCGGGGGGTGCGGGAGCAGGTGCGCTTCTACGACACCCGGGGGCTCCGGGACGGGGCGGAGCTGCCCCGGCACTGCTTCTCCTGCACCGACGGCTACGTCCTGGTCTACAGCACCGACAGCCGCGAGTCCTTCCAGCGCGTGGAGCTGCTCAAGAAGGAGATCGACAAGTCCAAGGACAAGAAGGAGGTGCGTGCGGGGGGGCCCCGTGCGTGGTGAGGGAGAGCGGCCCCAGGCGGCGTGGCGGGGCTGTTTTTCACTCATGTCCTAGAAGGTGGGTGAGGAGCTGGAGGAGGGATCGAGGCCCCTGGAAGGCGTCTTCCCACACAGAGGCGGCCCCGTGCTGAGGCAGCTCCACCGAAAAGGCTTCCGTTTAAGCGCTCCCCGGCCTAACACGGGAAGCCCCCACTGGTCCTTCTTCTTACCAGCCCCACACTCTCACTTAGGAAAGCCTTTCTTTTTTCTTTTTCTTTTTTTATTTTTTAATTTTATTGATTTTTTACAGAGAGGAAGAGAGAGGGAGAGAGAGCTAGAAACATCAATGAGAGAGAATCATCAATCGGCTGCCTCTTGTACACCCCCTACTGGGGATGTGCCTGCAACCAAAGTACATGCCCTTGACCGGAATCGAACCCGGGACCTTTCAGTCCGCAGGCCGACGCTCTATCCACTGAGCCAAGCCGGTTTCAGCGTCTTTTGTAGTTAAGTCCCCCTTGTAAGCTGTTGGGCATTGTGGGAGCCTGCGCTGCCTCGTGTTATTTAGCCAGACTTGAACTGACTGCCGGTCGTGAGCAGGCATGGGCCATTCGGGGCTGGTTGTGGAACCCCATGGAGAGAGGGCCAGATGGAGGCCAGAATCTGAAGAGGGGAAGGAGAGGAAAAAGCAGCAGTCTCCCTCCCCCTCGCTTCATAGTCCCTCATACAGGAAGCGATGAGATATCAGCCGTTAAAACTCCCCTCCTCTTAGGACTCCCTGGTGGTGGCCAGCCGTCACACCCACCCCCAAGGCCCCTGGCACACCCACAAGTCCCTGCTCTGTCCCTCCTCCCCAGGTCACCATCGTGGTCCTCGGCAACAAGTGCGACCTGCAGGAGCAGCGTAGGGTGGACCCGGACGTGGCGCAGCACTGGGCCAAGTCGGAGAAGGTGAAGCTGTGGGAGGTGTCGGTGGCGGACCGCCGCTCCCTCCTGGAGCCCTTCGTCTACCTGGCCAGCAAGATGACCCAGCCCCAGAGCAAGTCTGCCTTCCCCCTCAGCCGCAAGAACAAGGGCAGCGGCTCCCTGGACGGCTGAAGAGCCGCCGTCTGTCTTCGCCTTCCCGGCCCCGGCCCGGCTCCCGGGCTCTGGAAGATGGGCTGAGGGGAGAGGGGAACTCTCTCGGCCCAGGCTCAGGCCGCTCTGGCTCCCTCCTAACTCCGGGAAGTGCACATAATCTAGGTTAGCGCCCCCCAACCTCTCCCTCCACCCCAGCTTCCATCGTATCTGCCCCTCTGGGGACCGGGGGCAGATGTGGGTCCGGGTCCCTTCCACCTGCCCTGGTCGGGAAGCAGAGCTACCACCATGGAAGTGCCACGTCTGGGGTCTGGTTCTGATCACGGGTCCCACGCTTCTGGGCTTCTGCTACTCACACACACACACACACACACACACACGCACACGGCACCAGCCTGGACTCCAGGGATAGGGCGTCCAGGTATCGCGTATGCGTGTGCCTGTTGGCGTTAGGGGTGCCTCCTCACCTCACCCAGCACCCTGGCCTTTTCCCCTGTCTGCACCTTGGCTGGAAGAAGCCAGCTTCCTGGGAAGTGTGATTTTCAACTTGACCTCCCGCCCCAATTGTTTTCACTTCCTCTTCCTGCTTCATCGGTCGAGGTGGAAGGGAATGGTGACTGGGCTGAGTCACTGAGGGGCTTTGTTACCCAGCAAAGTTTTTTTTCTCTCTCTCTGAGCTTTAGTTTTCTTATCTGCACAGCGACAGGGGCTGCTTCGATGGCCTTCTAGGTCCTCTCCAGCCCTGTGGTTTCAGAATGCCCCTGGCTTCCGGCCGGCTGACTGTCCCCTTCCTTCTCCCTCTTTCAAGGTGCTATGCCTACCGGCCCCGGAGGCTGGGACACTGCCCTCTGGCAACCACCAGGGGGCAGGAGTGCACTATCTACTCCAGTTGCCAGACTGGCTGCTTTAGTGCCCCTTGGGGAGCCTCACACCCCTGGGGCTGGTCTTCACGCCTTCCTGTGGTTGTCTTCAGCTCTTGGCTGGACTTTATTTATAGATTTACCCGTTAATCAGTTCCTATGCTGCATGGTGAAGGCTGGACAAGGTGCTCCTCTAGCCCTTCTTTACCTCAGATGCCTCAACAGAACAAGAACAAGGCAGACGAGGGGTAACTTCTCAGGAGCGGACAGATCTGTTGGGGCTCAGAAGGGTGGTTACACTCTCCGCACGCTGTCAGGTGAGCTCATGACCCCCAGCTTCCCGGGCCCGCCTCCCTCGTGCTTCTGATGGGCACCGCAGCCCTGGGTGAGCCCCTATAGCCGGGCCGCCTCCAGTGCCCGCCCCTCCCCCAAACAGGAGAGGTGAGCAGGGGCAGACGGTCCCAGGCTGGGCGAGTCAAGTGAGGGCATATGCAGGCTCGGGCTTAAAGTTCATTTATTGATGCATTGGACACAATAAAACCACAACTGTTATCAAAAAGTTTTTTCCCTCCCATTCGCCCCTTATTGTCCCATTGGAAATATCTTTTTTTTTTTTCTTCTTTTTTTTTTTAAAGATACAGGTGGATACTGGCAAAGTCCCGTATTGTGGGGTGAGGGGGTTGGGCAGTACTGGGATAGGATGGAGGTTGTGGCGTTAGCATGGACACGGGTCTGTGGTTATCAGGCTGGATCCCAACTCAGCTTCACAGTGAGGGAGGCTTGGGGTGCTGTTGGTTGGGAGGAGGGAGAGCTGACTTGTGCGAGGGACCCGTTGGGGTTGGATAGCGAGGGGAGAAAGCTCTCTGTGTGGGAGGCCCGGGGGGACTCAGTGTTAGCCGGGTCCATAGTCTGAGGGAGACCCCCAGGGTCCCCCTCCCCAAAGCTGGGGGTTCAGGAGAAATGGGTAAAAGGCTAAGGGGACTGGTCACTTCCTCTGTTAAAAGGGCCCAGCCAGGGCATCACCACCACCCCTGTCCCAGCCCCATCCCTTTGGGAGGACCCTGAAAGCTTCCAGCACCATGGCTGTGCCCCCCCCGCCCCCGCCCCTCCCCAGCACGGCTGCCTTCCTCCTCCAGCCTCCCACCGCGCCCCCATGGCCATCGTGTCCAGATTGCCCAGAACCCAGTCCGGCTGAGAGCCCGCCCCTCACCGTGTCCTCCTCCAGAGAAGCCGTCCCTGAGCACGGGGGGAGGGGCCGGTCACAGACTTGGGATTTCTAGGGCCTTCGGCCATGTGGGTGTAGGTCTTGAGAGGGGTATGAGAGCACCGTGGGGCTGGGGTTTTGCATAGATCTTGGGGATTTCTCCGTTTGCTCCCGGTCAATGGGGCTGGAAGTGCGGGGAGCCCAGGACTAGAAGGCTGGGGGGCTGAGGGTGGGCATGGCCCTGGGGCCAGGGGGTGATAGCTGAATCCCCAGTCAGATGGAGTGAAGGGCACCTGCCCTTCCAACCAGCCCAGCTCTTCCTGGGTTGGCCAGGAACCCCTCCCCCGTGGGATGTAGGAACAGAGGCGTCCCGGGGAGGGGCAGATGGGGAAAGGGACCGCTGCGAAGGCGGCCCTGGCCCCCCTCGAAGGGCTAATAGGGGGCAAAGAGGATGGGTCCCGTGGCGGGGCGGACCGCTCTCGCTGGGGCGCGGAACAGAGCCGGGCCCAGGATGGGAGCCGGGAAGAGGGTGGTGGCCGTGGCGGGGGCCGGCCGGAGGGCCAGGGGCCCGGGCAGGGCACAGATGGCCGCAGCTGCGGTGGGGATCGGGCTGGGCAGGAAGCGGGCTGCCAGCGTCTTGGTGAGTTGCTTCTGCAAGGCCAGCTTAGACTGCAGAGAAGAAAGAGAGGACTGGACACAGCCTGGCCCCAGAGCATCCCCCCTGCCCTGCGCTCCGTCCTTGGGCTTTCTGCTGCCGGATACGCTGCCTCTGAGGGCTCCAGGCTAAATCCTCCTTCTCTCCCGCCCCCAAGCCTTCATTCCAGAGGGCTTTCTCCACCACCTGTCCTCCCGCCCCCAAGGAACGGAACCCACCGGGATGGGCCTGGGCGGAGGCTGGTTGGGTGGAGGTGGAGATGGTTTCTAGGAGATGGCACACCCACCCCTCGCTCTTGCCCGAGATTCCTACCCAGGCCCGCCTCCGAAAAGTCCTCTGGGCAGATCCCAAGGGAGCCAAAACCCACCCCCAGGCAGCCTCGTTCAGGGTGGCTCTATTCCTGCCTCAGTTCCCCAGCAGATCCCCCCCCCTCCCGCCTTCCCTTGACCAGGGTCCCAGCCCCGGTGCCCAGAGACAGATACCTTGAGGATACTCACAGCCAGCGCAGCGTGCTTCTGCAGCTTGCTGTGCTGGCTGGAGGGCTTGGGGGGCTTCCCGGCCAGGCGGTCTTTGTGCCTCCTGCTGCTCAGGTGCTAACGGGTGGACAGACAGACAGACAGACAGACTGGGAACAAGATGAGGAAGCCCAAGGACCCCCAACCACCCCATCGTCCTCAACTAGCTCACCCTTCTCTACCTACAGTTCGTACATTGAACCTACACGTATTGGGCATCACCCGGAGTGGCCCCGGGGATGGGCAGTGAGACTTGGCCTCTGGCTCCCCTCCCTCCCCCTGGCCCTGCCCTACCCACCTCCCCTCCTCAGCTCCCTCCTTCCCCCTCCCCTGCACTGGGCCCGCCCCCTCACCCCTGCTCCAGCCCGGTCCGGCCTCCCTTCTCCCACCTGCTTGAGCTGGGTCTCTGAGTTGACCTGGAGCTGGCAGACAGCACAGTGGAAAGGGGGGCTGGGCCCCTGCCGGCCCCGCCGGCCCCCGGCCACTCTCACGGCTTTGTGTCCAGCTCCTCCCCGGGGCACCGGGCGGCCCCGGCCCCTTCGGGGAGCCCCTCGCTGGCCTTCCACCATCCACCGGTGCTTGGCTCCTGGTGGGAGGGAAGAAGGTCTGTCAGCACCGAGGAGGGCTGCACGGCCATGGGGACCCCTCCAAACCAGGCCAGCTTGGCTGTCCCTTTAGCTTTGGGGCTGCTCAGCACATACACCCTCCCCCCGTGCGCGCGCGCACACACACACACACACACACACACACACACGAGACTCCTCTTTCCATCCCCACAAGGTCCTCTCATTTCAAGCCACCCCCACAGGGAAGGCCTTCTTGCAATGGAACTGGCCAGCTTCCTTCTCTGGTCTCAGCCCCTCCCTCTGGCCTGAGCTAAGGAGAGAGGGAGACAGTGTCTCCTATGGTCTCTGCAGTGACCCTTCAGTCCTTGTGTCTCTCCTCAGTGCTCCCTCAAGCCTTAGTGGGAGGGCCCGAAGTGCACGCCCAGTAACAGCTGAGCTCAGTGTTTCAGGTTACCAAGTCCTTGAGCAAAGCGCCCAGAAGTCCCAGCCCGCCCCCCTCTGGTGCGGGGCAGTCTCCCCGCCCTTCTCCCTCCCCCGGACTCCAGCCGGCGGGAGCCCGCCGGGCCGGGCACACTCACCCGTGTTGTGAGCCTGAAGCTGGGAGGCGGAGTTCACCGTCACCTTACAGGTGGGGCAGTAGAGGCGCCCCTTCTCACCCCGGCCTTCCCCACTCACGCCGCTTCCCGCCGCCGCCGCCGCCGCCGGCTCGGGCCCCGGGGCCTCGGTCCCGGGCTCGGGGGAGCAGGGCGGGCAGGAGGAAGCGGAGGAAGAGGAGGCGGCGTCCAAGAGGTCTGCGCGGGCGGGCCCCCCCGCCATCGGGTCGGGCGTCCGTGGCGGCCGGAGCGGGGGCCCCGGAGGAGGGTCTGCAGGAACGGCTGGGGAGGTGGGAGGCGCTGGGTAAGAGGATGAGCCCGGAGTTGCCTCTCCAGGCCGTGGTCTTAAGCACTGACATCGGGGGTGGCATGGCAGAGTGGACGGGTCACTCTTGCGGGGGTGACCAGCGCTGAATTCCAGACCTACTCTACCCTCCAGCTCACCGGGCAGACCTGAGCCTTTTTGGGCCTCGGTTTCCCCATCTGAAATCATAAAAGTTGGGCAGAGTCACCTCAGCCCTCCTCACGGCCCTGATAGTTCAGTTACTAGCTGTTAAATAAACGGAAATGTAAAAAGGTACTAGAGTGTGCGTAGAGCACCATTCATAATATAACAGCATGAAACTGGAAACTATTCAAATGCCCATCAACAGGAGAGCAGGTTTTTAAAAAATCATTCGGTCCTACGATGGAATACTACATGGCAACGGAGAAAAACAGTACAGCTACCACCACAGCACCGTGGAAGAATCTCATGAATGTTCATGAAAGATGAACAAAAGCCTATATTCTACATGGTTTATCGAAACCTTGTGCAGAGAAGTCAGGATCGTAGTCACCCTGCGGGGAGGGGTGTAGGTGGTTGAATAGTGTCACCCCCAAATTCACGTCCCTCTAGGTCAGTGGTTCTCAGCCTTTCTAATGCCGCGACCCTTTGATACAGTTTCTCATGTTGTGGTGACCCCCAACCACAAAATTATTTTTGTTGCTACTTCATAACTGTCGTTTTGTTGCTGTTATGAATCATAATGTAAATATCTGTTTTCCGATGAGTGACCCACAGATTGAGAACCGCTAGCAGGGTCACCTAAGACGCATCCACAAGCCAAGGAATGCCAAGCAACCGGCAGAGGCTAAAAGAGGCGCATGAGACAAATCCTCCCTCTCCATCCCACGAAGGAAGCCACCTTGTGGACACCCTGATTTCAAACTTCTGACTTCCAGAAACTTCTACCCAGTGAGTGGTCATTATAGTTCCTACGAAACTATTACAAGGTAGTGCCTGGAAGGGGCCCAAGGTGGGCTGCTGGGTGCTTGGGAGAAGTTTCTTAATCTCGATATATTCAGCCGGGAACGTTCACTGAGCTGTGCACTGTGATGTCTGTAGGGAAACTCCAGCACGAGCAGACGTAATAATAAGACCTCTCTCAACCCCCCCGTCAGAAACCAGACTTGGCGTGGGGGCGGGAGAAGATTTCAGGACTGACCTTTACGCTGCGGCTCTTCGGGGCCTCCGCTGGCCACGGCCGGGGGCGGGGACACCAGCGTCCCATCCTGGGCCAGGGTTTGGGGCTTCTGCTTGCTCTTGGCGGCTTCAATCGCCTTGAGTTTCCTGGCGTGTTTGTGGCCTTTATAATGCGCTTCGGCCTGGTTCTGGGAGGGGAGGGTATAAGGTCACCATTCATTCTCTGAGTCTCCGTGTCCTGTCCACAAGCTGGCCTTGGACATGGGGCGGGTCAGAGCGAATCCTGGTCACCGCCATCATCGTCACAGTGCGTGCATGGCCCTGAGGTCTACGGAGCACACACTCATAGGTGAGCTCCCAGGCAAGCAGCCCCGGGCTTTCAATTCTGATTCAGCCACTGAGTAGCTGTGCATCTCTGGGCAAGACACCTCGCCTCCCTGAGCCTCAGTTTCCTCACTCAAACTCTGCTTTAACACCGACCTCACAGGATTGAGAATTAAAGGAGAACCTGAATGATCATTCATACAGAAGGTGCTCAATGAATGTTAGTTACCAAGTTTATACATGCACAAAGGGAGAAAACCGAGCAACCCCCATCCTCTGGATAGGTGCACCCCAGAACATTCATCCCTTTCCCACGTTTTCAACAAATCGTTACTGAGCATTGGCTGTGAAGGGGCCCAGCATAAACACACGGATCTTCTCTCCGAGTGAAGTCTCTCTGTCCAGCTGGTTCACAATTTGTAACTGGAGAGCCTGGAGGAACCCCCATATCTATCCTCCCTCCTTCAACCAGGGGTCCCTGCTTATTGCTCCCACATGCAGCAAAGACAGGCCCCTCCCTGGACACCTTCACTAGAACAGGTCAGCTGAGAGCATCTCCCCAGAGCTGCCCAGACGGAGGGTAAACCTTCCCTGAGAAGCCAGATAGAGGCCCCTTCACTCTCCAGGGGCAGGCTATGGTAGACAGGATGCAGGCCTTGGGGTCAGCCAGGCCCGTGTTCAGATCCCAGAAGCCCCAGCTCCGGCCCTCTCCCCGCCCAGCCGCTCCCCAGCGTGTTTCCACTGCTCCTCTCACCGCAGAGTTGAACCTCAGGTGACAGATGTTACAGGAAATGAAGAGCTTCTTCTTCAGAGGGGAGGGGACCCCGAAGGTGTGGCTGATGACAGCTTTCTGGACCGGGTCCATCTGTGAAGGGGGAGGCACAGTAACTCTGGGGCTGGCCCGGGAAGGGGGCAGTACCAAATGCCCCAAACTAACGGCTGTCCAGGAGGGCAGCGGTCACCCTGAGGAAGAACTTCACCATCCTAGTGATGCCAGACCCAACAAGAGAAACAGCCTCGTCCCTGGCAGGCTTCTCTGTCAGCCTGGCTTCTGCGTGGAGGCAGGGGGATGGCCAAGGTCACCTCCTTGATCTCAAGAAACAGACCATGTCCTGGTGGTCACCTTAGCATTTCTTGCTGCCTCTGGTCTGTTTTTTATTTTTATTTTCTCATTCACAAGAATCTATATGGCGACAGATTGTTGTGGGGAGGGAGAGCAGGGCGGGGACAGAATCCCTCTGTGGGAATTTCCTCTCCGGTAACCCAGCCTTGTGCTGGATCTAATGGCTGGGGAGATCAGGCTTCTCTTATGAGCCCTGCTACTGCAGCAGGGCCTGAGAGGGAGAGGAAGCCCTGGCCGGGGGCAGTGGGGGGCCAGGATGGAGCAGGTGACAGCAGGTAGAGGCTGGAGGGTTCCCTGAGTAGTAGAATCATTTCTTTGGGATGTTAATGTGTGTGTCTTTTTCTTATTTTAAATAAATTTTTCTTCTCTTTTCTCAGGGCCAAAAAGTGGAAGCCATCTGGGCTTGCTTGTCCAGAACTTTCCGTTCTCTTCTGTCAGGAAGACAGGGAGAGAAAAGCATGGTTTCGGGAACTTCCCTGAGAACAGAAAGAGGTTCTAATTCCCACAGCAACCGGGGCTGGGCAGCAGGGGACAGGGCCTCAGAGAATGGCCTGCAGGGCCCAGGCGATCATGACAACAGGGTTCATCAATTCCTGAGGGTCCATGGGCCCGAACAGTGAGCACGCCAGCCAATGAGAGCAGGAACCTCAGACCAGAGGACCCTCCCAAATGTGTCTGGTTCCTGGGGATCTCTGCGCAACGCTGGAGGGCAGGCAGGCAGGAAGGGATGCCTCAGGGCGACTGAAGCCGAATTCCCCACCATCTGGTCAGGCTGGGGTGGGGCTCATTGATGACTGCGTTTGATTTTTCAAAATTAACAAGGGGGAGCATTCCTATGGCTCATGTAGTGAAATCTAATTCATGCTCACCACCCTTGTTCTTCACACACATACACACACGGAAATACATAGACAGCACATGAGCTGACAGCTACAGGTGACAGAGACATGCAGAATAATACACACGCCAGTGGCAGACAAGCACAGACAAAGGCACCATCACCCAACCCACACAAAACACACGCAGAGGTCAGACACACACCAAAACACACAGTCAACACGAAGACACAAAACGCCTCTCAGATACCCAGAAACACATATTACCTATCGAGAAACAAAGAGTTGTTTACACACACACACACACACACACACACACACATGGGACACCAACACACATCCACACCCACAAACAACGCACAAAGACCTATGGATTTACACACTAACACAGAAAGGCACACTCAGTTGCACACACACACACACACACAAGTCATCCATAGAAGTCGCTGTATCAAAACTCAAGTGAGATCTACAGTACAGACCCTACAGGCCCAGCAGCTGTTATTGGGGGGACATCGTTCTCCCCTTGCCCAGAGAGCTGGGCCTGGGGGGGTCTCTATTTTGGGAGCACCTAGTCTCTTGGGGATGTTGGAGGAAAATGAGCTCCTGGTTAGACCCACCTTCTGAGAACCGGCCCATCAGAGCCCACCTTCCATGCCCACCCCCGCCTGGCTGCATGCCCCCGCCCGCCGGCCTGGCCCGTACCGTGCTGAAGTTGGGGAAGAGACTGAGCGGGGCAGCGCCATTGAAGTGGAAGGCGAGCAAGTGCTTGAAGTCCAGCGGGGGCTGCAGGGGCCTGGCAGCCAGGGGCAGGGAGGCCAGCAGGGGGCTGGGGGTGCTGGATGCCGGGCCTGCTGCAGGAGGAAGAAGGGCAGGGTCTGAAACGGGGAGCCACAGGCAACCCTAGCCCCACAGCCAGAAGAAGCTGGTAAGCTTCTTGGGTGTGAAGCCAGGACAGAGTTCCTGTCTCCCTCTTCGCGAAGGAGCCCTGGCCAAACCCAGGGCAAGTCCAGCCCACCTCTGTGCCCTCTCCTCTCCACGGCAGAGGCAGGGAATCCACAGCGTAGGGCTCCCAGCCCAGAAAGGATGACCCTCCCACCCTTACAGAGGCCCGGATGAATGCTTAAGGGCAGCCAGGCCAAGGGAGGGAACCGAGGCGTCAGGGCAGGCCCCTGACACACACACACCATATGGAGACAGCACAAGAGCTGGGTTCCTCTTTATTGCAAATTAAATCCAAACCCAGGAGGCCCGGGTAAGGCCATCCCCTCCCTTCTCACTCCCCCTCCCGATCCCCACGTCATGCCCAGCAAGGGCTGTCAGAGAGGATGGGAAACCCTTACAATCTGAAGGGATGTGTCCCCCAGCACTGGTGAGGCTCCAGCTGCTTCCCCCAGGAGGCACAAAGCCCTCCATCGGCACCCTGGGCCAGGCCTGGAAGCGGGGGTGGCGGTGGGAATCGGGGGAACACTGTGGTTTTATAGTCTTTGGTCTTAAAGGTCTGAGGCAAGGAACTTGGGAGAACAACCAGACTTGGAAAAAGAAAAAAATTAGTAACAAGACCAGTTAACTTGGGACGCTTTTGGACCCTATCCCTGCAAAACGAAAAGAAGTCCTTTTAGGTTTATGTGCTAACGTTATGAAAAATAGGACAGATTTATTTCATATTTATAGGCTGAACATATCTATATACATGGTCATATACATGAAAGCCTCAGGCAGCCTTGGTGGGAGGAAGGAGGACACCACTGCCTCTCTTGAAGTGTTAGCTGTGCGCAGAGTGCTGTGCTGTGCCAGAAACAAGGACAGCCGGGGCCGGTTTGGCTCAGTGGATAGAGCATCGGCCTGCGGACTGAAAGGTCCCGGGTTTGATTCTGGTCAAGTGTATGTAACTTGGTTGCAGGCACATCCCAGTAGGAAGTGTGCAGGAGGCAGCTGATTCATGTTTTCTCTCTCATCTCAATCGATGTTTCTGACTCTATCCCTCTCTCTTCCTTTCTGTAAAAAATAAAAATCAATACAATATATATATTTTTAAAAAGACGCAGTATTCGCATCCAGTTCCATTTCTAAAAAAAGAAGAAGCAGAAGCAGAAGCAGAAGCAGAAGCAGAAGGAGGGGGAGGAGAAGGAGAAGGAGAAGGAAAAGAAAGGAAGAAACAAGGACAGCAGCAGCAGCAGCAGCAGCAGAAGAAGAAGAAGAAGAAGAAGAAGAAGAAGAAGAAGAAGAAGAAGAAGGAGGGAAGAAACAAGGACAGTGGTCTGCTGGAAGAAGGAGGAGGAGGAGGAGGAGGAGGAGGGGGAGGAGGAGAAAAAGAAAGGAAGGAAGAAACAAGGACAGTGGTCTGCTCTCCGGTGGGATCTGGAGAGAAGGGGCGCTGCCAGGAGTGGGGCTGAGAAAGGCAAGGACCACATCCTTCTTTCCCCCAATCCCTTCATTCTAGAGCCCCAGTCTTCCTGCCTCCAAACAAGAACCCCCTCCCCCAACAGTTTTAGGGTCAAAACTTGGGATGAATCCAAAGGGAAAAAAGGGTGAGCTGCTCCTCACCAAACTCTAGAATTGTCAGGAGCAAGAGTTAGGGTGCCCCAGGCCCTAGCATCTCTGCCCATTGCCCAGGCACCCCTGGACCCGTCCCTCCTCCACAGCCCACAGCCCACAGGGCTGGGCGAGTCCTCAGCGTTGAGCAGAGGAAGCACGGGGAAGGCAAACGGAAGGCCGCAGTCCGTAAGTCAGCCCGGATGCAGCATGGGCAAGGCTGGCTTGGCCCTCAGCGTACCCAGCGCCCCAGGCTGGCCGGGTAGAGAGGGAAGGCGGCCGCCCTCACATGAGCTGCGACCCCAGCAACCCCTCGGCCCACCCGCTCTCTAGGACCTCCACGGCCAGTGCAAAGTCAAACTCGTGCAGCGGGGGGCCATCCACGGCGATCTTGACCACGGGGTCGCCCCGGCCTTCCCCGGCGGCCCCGCTTTGCCCCCGCCACCAGCGCAGCTCCCTGCTGCGGCCGACCTTGTCCAGGAGGCCGGCGCCCGCGGGCATCGCCAAGGCCAGGCCAGCGAGGGCGGCGAAGTCGGGGAAGAGCTCGTGCAGCTCGGAGCGCGCGCACGCCAGCCGGGCGCACAGAGCGCGCGGGCCCGGCCGCCCGAGGCCGCGCACCACGCGCTTGAAGAGCGTGAAGTGGCCGAGCGCGCGCGGCCGCACCACCGCGGGGGCGAAGGCGCGCAGCAGCCACCGCAGCGCCCGCTCGCCGTGCGCGCCCAGCTCCTCCGGGGTCTCCGGGTAGCGGCGGGCATCGAAGATCGCGGAGAAGGCGGCCACGGCCTCCAGCGAGGGCCCGGGGTAGGCGTCCCGCAGCCCCTTCTGCATGGAGTCCAGGAAGGCCCCCCGCAGCTGCTCCAAGTCCCGGAGCGCAGCCGCGGAGTAGCCCACCACCTCCAGGCCGCGGTAGGCGCCGCGCTCACCGCCCAGGCCGGGACTGGAGGGCGCCAGCTCCCGCAGGAAGCCCTGGAGCCGCGCGCCCCCGGAGCTCCGCTGCGCCTGGAGGGAGGCCGCCGCCGCCATCACCAGGGGCTGCAGCAAGGCCAGGGGTGGGTCTTCCCGCTGCAGGGCAAGGGCGAGCTTCTGCACGCAGGGCAGGGCGTCCAGCAGCAGGTGGGTGAAGGCCACGAAGGTGAACTGGCGCAGGGCGAGGGCCAGGGCCCTGGCTGTGGGCGAGGCTGGGGCAGAGGCCTCCAGTGCAGGCACCAGGCATGGCCAAGCCTCAGCCACTGCTTCCACGACGGGCAGCGAGGAGGCCCAGGGCACTGGCCGTGGTCCTGCCAAGTCGATGGCTGCAAGGTCCAGGGCTGCCCGAAGCTCAGGGACCATGTGGGAACTGGGACCACCATGGAGGCGGAAGAGGGCATCCAGGACACTTTCGTATTCCCCTAGGTAGGCAGGGGGCTCAGGATCTGGCCGACCGGGGAGGCAGTGCAGCTCGGTGAGCAGCGGGCAGGCGGCCCGGAGCTGCGGGCCCACACTCCCCCCGAGGCAGTCACCGGGGAGGCTTGCACTGAGCCAGGCTAGCTTGGCGGCAGACACGCCGAAGGTCTGCAGGATGTCCAGGAGCTGGCCAGCAGTGTCCTCGCCCTCCTGCAGCTCCACACTGCCCAGGAAGGTGGTGGCAGGCTGGCCGTCACTGGGGGACACCGACGTGGCAAACAAGGCCAGACTGTGGGACTCGGGCCAGTCTCTGGTCTTGTCCAACACCAGCCCCACATACGGGGACGCCTTCAGGCCCTGGCAAGCCTCTGTGTGCAGGACGCTGGCGATGGCCACCTGGGACGGCCAGAGAGAGGAAGGGAGGGAGGGCAGAGTTAAGCTTGTCCGGAGAAGGGGAGGCAGACAGTCCAGGGGGAGCACAGGCGTTGGGGTCAGACAGACGTAGGGATGAATCCTAGCTTTGCCACGTATTGGCTGTGCGATCTTGGGCAAGCCATTTCACCTCTCTGAGCCTCAGTCTCTTTAGCTCTAAAACCAGGCTAGCCACGACCGGTTTGGCTCAGTGGACAGAGCGTCGGCCTGCAGACTGAAAGGTCCCAGGTTCGATTCCAGTCACGGACATGTACCTTGGTTGCTGGCACACCCCCAGTAGGAGGTGTGCAAGAGGCAGCTGGTCGGTGTCTCTCATTGATGTTTCTAACTCTCTAGCCCTCTCTCTTCCTCTCTGTAAAAAGTCCATAAAATATATTTTAAGAAAAATAAAAAATAAAATAAAACCAGGCTCATAGGTGTCCATCCTCTCCTCCAGAGGTGGTTGTGAATTATAAATACAACTTTTTGTTGTTGTGCTTATAAATGAAAAACGCTTTACGAACCATAAAAGCTCCATGGAGTTTGGGGGGGGGGGGTGTGCATTTCTATAGCATCACCCAGTCTGTCTTATTCCTGGGGCTCTCCCTCCTCTCTGCTGTCCAGGGATTAACCGATAGATATGTTCACTCCTGACTCCTGGCCAGTGGCATAAGGCCCCCGAGGTGTGTTCTGCTCGTCTGTTTGCCATCTCTCTGTAAGATGAGAGCGACTCCCCCTCCCCCACCCCAGCCCCTGGGGCTCACACAGCTGGTAAGTACCTAGGACAGAGTTGCAACGTGCATGCCCCCAGGGGCCATGTGGGTAATACTGAGCTCGAGGAGGTGGGCCAGGGACAACACGGAGGGACTGGGGAAGTCCATCCTCGCTCCCCACCTCCACCTCTTCATGCCCCGAGAGCACTGGGACCTAGCTTTTCGGTACAAGTTACAAATCCAGATGTTCACATGTAATGCCTCGTTTTGTTAAACTTGGAAGCTAAGGAAACATGTTTAAAAACACTGTGGCTCTGGCCGGTGTGGCTCAGTTGGTTGAGCGTCACCCCATGCATCAAAGGGTCGTTGGTTTGATTCCTGGTCAGGGCACATGCCTGGAGGAAAGGCTTCATCCTCTGTAGGGGGCGTGCAGGAGGCAGCTGACCGATATTTCTCTCTTGCCCTCTCCCTGCCTCTCTATCTAAAATCCATAAAACAGCCCTGGCTGGTTGCTCAGTGGTTAAAGCACTGGATTCCCAGGCAAGGGCACATACCTTGGCTGAGTAGAGGCATGAGCAGGAGGCAACCAATCAATGTGTCTCACTTAGGTGTTTCTCTCTCCCACTCACCCCTCCCTTTCCCGCTCTCTAAAAATCAATGGGAAAGATAGTTTTGGGATTAAAAAAAAAATTAAAAAGAACTAAAACACTTCCGTGGGCCAGCGAAGCCCTCAGGGCCACCAGTTTGCTGTCTCTGGCCTAGGTGGTGAGGGGAAGGGCCCTGGGCCCCTGAGGGCAGGGCCTGATCTGGCTGCTTCGCTGCTGTGTTCTCAGCAGCTGGCCCGAGCCCAGACACACGGCGCGCCCTCAGTGAGGGTTCTGACGGGCGGAGGTATGAATGAAGTGCTCTGGCTGACGCCCAGGGGCCTGGCATGCTGGCACTGTGCCCGAGGGCTCCATGTCCTCCCTCCCCAAACCCTCCCCCATATCCTTGGCTGCCACCCACCTGCATGTCCCTCACCCTCCTGGGACTGTAGTAATCGCCACGCTCCGTGCCCAGCAGCGCCTGGCACAAGTTGAACCTCTGCAGCTGGAGCAGGGCAGAGCAGCGGTCGTCGGGCACGTTCTCCTTGGCCATGCAGTACACCGTGGTCAGCACGGCCACCTTGGCAGGGTCCACCTCCGCCTTGATGCCCCTGGAGGGAGGGCTGGGCGCCGGGCCCGGGGAGGCCCCTCCGTCCTCCGCCTGGCCCTCAAACGTGGGCTGGCCCCGGTTCGTGGCCAGCGCCCGGCGGTGAGCCCCCGAGTTCACGTGGCGCAGCAAGGCGTGGCGCTGGAAGTTGTCAGTGCCCACGGTGAAGGCGTTCTCCGCTTTGCCGTGCTTGTTCCGGACCAGGGCCTGGCGGCACTCGAGGCAGAACATCAGCTTCCGCTCGTAGTCGAAGTCCAGCCAGGAGAACTCCTCCTTCCAGTGCTCGTTGAAGTAACGCTTGCACTTCTTGTTGGAGTTGGAGGCCTCTCCCGCCGGTTTCTTCCCCGGGGGCACCATTCCTGCTCCAGGGGCAGGGCACCCCAACTCCCACCCCGATGCTCTCACTCCCGGCCTCCCCCATGCACAGAGTCACACGTCCCTCGACAAGGGGAGTTGGCGGGGAGGCAGGAGAAGGGCGCCCGCCTGGCTGCTGGGGACCATCCATCTAACTTAGCCAGGAAGGTTTATCCCTGCTCTGCTGGTGGCAGACTGGAGGTGAAAGAGACAAGGGAGGTGTGTTAGGGAGTCCACCGAGGATTCACACTGCCCACAGAGGTGGCCTGAACCCAGCGGGGAAGGGCTATTGGGAGTGGGCGGGACCATGCAAAGGGCCATAGGATACTGTCCAAAGTGGGGAGGTACGGGAGCCCCAGCCCCACCTTCCAGGACAGGGCTTTATATAGTGCAGACAGCCGCAGCATGCCAGAACTCGGAGCTGGAAAGACCGGCACCACCTATACAACCACGTGTTATGGGTGGAGGGACTGAGTCCTGGAGCCAGAGTGGCTCTCAGGACTCGTGAATAATTTGTGGCTGAGCCAGAACAAAAACGTAGGCCTCCTGATTGGCTGCCAAAGGATGACTGATCCCGCCAGACCACAGTCATTTATTTCATTAGAAGGAAGTTAGCACAAAGCTGAGCTTCTGGGGCCACTGGGTTTTCTCCGGAGATCCCTTTCCAACACACACACACACACACACACACACCACTTTCCCATCAGCCTCTCCTTGGCCTATGCTGTCTTCCCCACCTCCTCTTCCCAACCTCAACCTGTCCAGAGCATTCAGAACCATCTCTGCTGGCCATTCCGAAACATACAACTCCAGTCAGGGCCACTCCTCTGGACACCACATCTCTCTGTCCAACCACCTTCCTGGTTTGTCAAATGGGACTTTCCCCGTTTGTCCCCAGTCCAGGAAAGGGCCCATCCTCCCGCCCAGGTGCTCTGGCCAGAAACGTGCCCCCTAAACCCCCTCTCTTTCACATCCGGGACCTGTTCTATCCACAGGGCCTGTTGACTCCATCTCCACAAACTACCTCCAACTCATCCCTTCTCTCCATGCCTCTGCCACCTTCCTCATCTAGGCCCCCTTCTCCTCTTGCCTGGACTATGCTGGTTGCTTTCTGGTGGCCCTTTGGGTTCTGAGCCACCCAAACTCCAGCAGCCAGAGGGGACTCTTGATAACTGAGCTGCTTTGAAACCCCTCCATGACGGCCTGTTGCTCTGGGTCAGTGCCAGCATCCTTTGCCAAATAAGAGCTGGCAGCCACTTGTCCTTCCCTCCCTTTCCAGCTATTCCTGCCTTTTCTTGGCTCCTCCAGAGGGCCAGGTTCCATCCTCAGGGCCTGCACTCAAGCTGTGCTTTCTTCCAGAATATTCCCAGCCTCCACTTCCACCCTGGTCTTAGCTTAACTGTCCCCTCTTCAGAGGAGGCTTCTGAATGGTCGGATCCTAGGAAGTCCCCTCCTTGTTGTCACCATCCCCCATAGTTTACAGATATGCGCATTTCTGTGCAGACCTATGGCTTGGTATATTCTCTCTCTCTCTGGTGACGGAACCCCGGAGAAGGGAACAGTGCTTGGCAAAATTTGGGGGGGTGAACAAATAAGGAAGCATGAGCTCTCAGTGGAGTGGGCCCTTGGGCACCGTTGGGTAGTAAAAAGCTGCCTCTGACATTCTTTCCTTCCAGAATCCTGTGACCCTTGTCCAGCCCATGGCCAGAGGGTCTTTGAAAGGGGAGGAGGCGCAAGGCCAAGGTGGTGCCCTTTTGGAGGTGCGTCACATCCTTTCCAGGCCCCTAGGAACGGGCTCCCCTGCCCCCTCCTGCAGGGGGGACAGGAGGACTATCAGACCTCGGCTGCTTCTGATAAAAGATCAGAAGAGTAGGTAGGAAGGATGCTTGGGAAGATAGAGACTCCAAAACTGCACTGACTGATGCACTAGCCGCTAGCCTGAGTGGCCGTTAAAAACGGATCGGAATTAAAGGAACAAAGAATTAAATTCACTTCCACAGTTGCACTAGCCACAGTCCAAATTCTCAATAGCAACATGTGGCTATTGCATTAGACAGCCGAGATAGAGAACATGCACCGCATCCCAGAGGGTTCTGTGGGGCAGCGCCACTCAAAACACAAAACAAGACCGAAGCCTTTGCGGTCCCCCCACCTCAACCGGAGGGAACCAGGCAGAGGGGGTGCGGTCTGAGGCTGCCCTGTCTCAGACCCAGGTCCCTGGCTCCTCTCCTGTCCTGGACAGCAGGATGGGAGCAGGCACAGCCTGTGGGCCCTGGGGCCCCGGTGTGTAGGTCTGCCAGCCAGACTCCACCGGGCACATAAGCCTCAAACATAGGGTTTAGTTAGCCGCAAGACGATGGTCCCAAACCTGCTCCTCAGGCTCCTTTTAGGACCCCACTGAGAGTCCAGGGTCCAGGCAGACCCCTCCCCTGGCAGCCCCAGTGAGGCTAGGGCTCCCTGCACGCCTGGCCTATCACCCTGGAGTGGGGACCCTGAGGGCTGGGGAACTTCTGGGGCTGGGGGAGGGGGGGCCACAGGGTGGAAGAGCCCTCGGATGGGTCATCTGGGGTGCTTATCCCCCACTGGCCCGGGGAATCTTGTTACCCACCCCCTGCCAGGCAGCTCTGGAGGAGTCACGCTGCCCGCTGGCCCCCGGCCCGCCCCGTTCTGCCCACCCACCCGCCACCCCCGCCCCCTCCCCACCGCGCACACACACTCACGGAGCCGCGGAAGCCACCATCTTGCCGGTGGTCGGTGGACGCTCTGGCCGCGGTCTCCTTGGGCTGCACTGAGCGACAGCAGCCACTAGCGGTAACCGCGGCGAAGAGGCGCCAGCAGCCGGCGCAGGGCCGGGGGTGCGGGCTGGGAGGTGGCGACCCTCCCCACCACCACACACACACACACCCTAACCCCGGGCTCACCTGGCCGCGCCCACCTGCCGTGGGTCACCCTCACCCATCCCAGCCGCAGCCGGAGCTACGAGGCCAGACCGCAGGAAGGATGCTGGGGCGGGAGGCACAGGGCTCATCACTCCTCAGCCACCTGCAGAGTCCCAGGGCGCTCCCAGGTGAGAGCTCAGGATGGAGAGCTGAGCCCGGTGGAGCCGGATGGAGGCTGCAGTCCGGCAGGTGCTCTGAGAGCTGCGCCCCAGGTGCTGAGGGATCGCGGAGGGGCAGGCAGGAAGCCCGAGATTTCCCCGAGGATAGTTTTCACAGCAGGGGAAGGCATTCCAGGCAGTGGGACTGGCAGAGCACCGGAAGTTAAAAGGGCAGAGCAGTCCACAAAGGCCAGGGTAGAGAGGAGGTAGGAGGGCGGGGAGGGGTGGGGCTGGGGCAGTGCCTGCTGCTGGAAGGCCCTGCGGAGAACCCTGGGACTTGGGTCTCAGGCCAGGTGGGAAGAGAGGCTGTGGGCTTCCCGCAGGAGGAATGTGGGTTCGGGCACCCCAGCCCTCCCAGCCGTGGAGTCTGGAGGCCTGCAGGGGAGCTCTGCTGACAGGGAAGAGGTCTTGGGCTGGACACTGAGCTAAGAGCCTCAGTTTCCTCATCCATGAAGTGGGAATTGAGCCAGGCGAGGAGAGGGCAGGGCAGGTCTGAGACCCAATGGAGGTCATTTGAAGAGGGGGTGCCAGGCACGTGGTGACTCAGCCTCCCCTCAGTCAGTACAAAGTCACCTCGAAATGCCTTTCAGCCCCTCACAGTAGTTGGGTCGGCTCCTTCTCCCACACAAGGCCTAGGGCACACATGGATTTGAGGTCAGGGCCTCTCTGGGGGCTGTTGGGAGCTTCCCCCTGGGCTCCCCTCGCACAGCGCTGCTCTGGGCCACCCCCTGTCTGCCTCTGACCTTCACTGCGAGTCCTGGCCTCCAGGGCCGCTGTGAGGATGTGTGAGTCATGCCACATGCACACACGTGTGACTGCTTGGCGTGTGGACACCACAGCCCCCCACACCTGCCCCAGGATGGCACCACCCAGCCTGACCTCACAAAACTCTGCACCCACAAGAGGGTCAGGTGTGGAGGGTCTTCTCTGTGGCAGCTGGCAACAGAACAGCCGCCGTGGCTCAGTGACCCAGAGCATCCCTCCAGGGGTCCTATCTGGGACCCACGGCTCCCTGGGTGGCTCCTCAGGAGGGGAGGTTTTTTCTCGGTCAAACGTGAACAAATCGGACTGCGTGGCAGAGAACAGCTCACCCCCGGGGGTCTCACTGAGGCTGGGGTGGGAAAGGAGATCGGCGGGCTCAGGAAATACCATCATCCCCCTGGCTGCAGCCCACAGGAGAGGCTCTGGGGGAACCACACTCTGCTGTTGTGCCATCACCGGGAAAGACACACAGCAAAGCACGGGGACATACAGCGTGAGGTCCACAGGCCCACACGCAGATGGCGACAGGCACACACACCTCCCCAGAATGACACTGTCTACGCACACTGATGTGCTCGCATGCAGAGGTGGGACCCACGCGGAGACAGCTGCCCTTGCTGGCCAGAGGCCACGCGTGAGCGTGCACGTACACACAGACGGGCAAGATCAACAAAGAGGCACGCAGATCACGTATACCCGGAGGGACAGACACGCGAGGACGCACAGACCCTGGCAAGGCATATACGGACAATGCTAAACACGGGCACGCAGCAGCACACACAGGCACCGAGATGTGTGTGCACAGAGGCCCGTAGACAGACAACTTCACCCAGAGGTGGGTGTGCGCACACACCCCGCTTACAAAATCAGATGCATCTGACATACACCCAAGCTCCGGAAGCCAGACCCAGAGTCTCTTTCTCCCACAGGCCAGAGGGACAGATGGCAGGTTCCCCCCACTCCAGGCACACACACACACACACACACACACACACCTCAAATAGTCAAGTTTCTATCCCAGATAAAACCAATACTCTGCGAAAGAAGAGGGGGTCCAGGAGGGAGAGAGGGCCAAAGGCAGTGAATGGGAGGTTGAACCAAGACCCCCTGCTTGCCTACTCCCACCAAGTCCAGGGGGTCCTCCCCACATTCTCCAGGGCCCCCAATCCGCTTCTGGGTGAGCCAGCACTGAGGGCGGGGTGTGGGGGTGGGGTGATGTTCCAGCCTCCCTCCTTCTCATGCTGGAGGAAGACCTCCAAACCCAGTCACCATCTGTCCAGGGGAGGGGTTCCCCACAGCCCCCCTTAAACGGTAATGGCCGTCTCCCTCAGAGAAAGCCAGATACCCCCAGTGTGGAGAGGTGCGCCGGAAGACAGGGAGAAAGGGGGCCATCGGCGCTGACCCCCGCGCAGTGGCGGGGCCTCAGGCAGGAGCACCCCAGATTTCTGCCGGCCTCCCTCTGTCTGTCTGTCTCTCTGCAGTAACGACGTCCTCCCCTAACACTGCTTAGAGGCTCCGGGCGCTCTCAGAGGCAGGGAAGGGTGTGATTTGCTATAAGGAAGGTTCGATGCAGGCTCCTCGGCCCCATGTGAGCACACTCCCTCCTGCAGGATGGCCTGTGGCTCCCCACAGCTTCCTGCCCCCACCTCTGTTCCCAGCCAGAGGGGGGAGGGGGCTCCCTTGCCCAGCCCTGGGACTAGGAAAACGTACCAAGAGTCCACTGCCCATGCGAGTCTCTTAACAGACAACTTTTGGAAGCCAGCAAAGGCGGGAAAGGGACAGGGCTGGGGGAGGGAAGAGGCCTCCTGGTGCCCAGGCCCCCTCGCACTGGCTCCTGTGCCCTCCTGCCCTCCGTACTCACCCAAGAGCATTCTCTGCTGCTTCGGAGGCACCGCCGCTGAGCTGCTGAGCGGAGTGAGGAGCCAATGAAGCCCAGCCAGAGAGTGACAGCGGGAAGGGGGTGGGGGATGCGAGGGACAGGAGGGGAGGGCACGAGGGAGGGACGCCTGCTCCTGCCAGGAACACTGCTGCCTAGTGCTGGTTTCCTCCATGCCAACCAGGGGGGAAAGGACCGGGCACTTCCTTCCCGAGGGGAGGGGAGGGGCCAAGTGAGGAGACCGGGGACGGAGGAGGGTGTCAGGGTGCATCCACTCCCCGCATCCCAGCAGCCCCAGGCCTCTTACACTGAAGCCGATAGCCGGCCCTGCCCGCAGACACCTCTAAGCAAGGGGATGCTGAGGCCGCTGTGGCTGCCACGAAGTCCTCGCTGCTGATCTCGGAAGCCCTGCCTCAGGGCTTGCTGCTTCAGGATCCCCCTTCTCCCGTCCAGTGAGCCCACCGGCCCCTTCAATGTGCTCCTTTTGCTGAAGGGGAAACTGAGGCTCGGAGAGGGATCACCGCTTCGCCCCAGTGTTGGCCGGGGCAGTGGGGGAAGGGAGCGCGCCCCTCTCGGTCCAGGACCTGGACTGCAGGGCCTGCTACCTGGGCAATGCCGGAAGGGGTGGTGGTGGCGGTCATCGGGTCATTAGACCGCCCGAGCCTCTCTCCTGCCCTCCCTCCTCCCTCCCCACGCGCCCACCCCCAGCCTTTGCTCTCCTCCGTTTGCCCCTTTCTTCCCTCCTCTTCCGGAAAACAGGCTGTGTCTCTCTTCACCGGAGCACCTGGCGGCCGGCTGGGAGGGGCGGTGGGTGGGGGAGAGGAGACAGCCAACCCACAGCTGGATCCAGTCTCGCATTCCAAGCCCGGGTCCCAGGGCGAGCCCTCCACCCCCCCAGCATCCTGTCTCCACCAGACAATACCCTGTAATCTCTGGGCAGCCAGCGCCTGCGCTGCAGGGAAGGTCTGGGGAGGGGGTGGCAGCAGCCGCTCCTGAAAACAGGTTTGTTAGGAAGAGGCTGGGGGAAGGACCTGCCGGTGAGGGGAGGAAAACACGAAACTCAAGCCCGGAGCCAATTAACCCACCCCGAGACACAGACCGGACCTTTGTCTCCGCCGGGGCAGGGATCTGAGCTAAGCCCCCAGGTTCTTCACCCCGATGGCCCTGCCTTCCCTGGCCGGCCCGGGGGAGGGGCTGGTGGTCAGGTTCACACTCAGCAGAGGGGGATGTGACAGCCATCAGGGAGAGCCGCACTCCTGTCTCCTGCCACTTAAGAATAGTAGCAGGACTCCAAACCTGGTTTGGCTCAGTGGATAGAGCGACCACCTGCGGACTGAAAGGTCCCAGGTTCGATTCCCGTCAAGGGCATGTACCTTGGTTGCGGGCACATCCCCAGTAGCGGGTGTGCAAGAGGCAGCTGATCAATGATTCTCTCTCATCGATGTTTTAAACTCTCTCTTCCTCTCTGTAAAAAATCAATAAAAAATATATTTTAAAAAAAGAAAAGAATAGTAGCAGGAGGCCACGGTTAGACTGCAAGCACTCAGTGGCCTTGGGGGAGCGCAGTGTCTCTGAAACTTGCACCTAAAGGTGACCAGACGTCATGATTTTTAACAATTTGTCCCACGTCCCTCGGCATTTTAAAAAAGTCCCGATTTGGGACTTTTTCTAAAACGCCGAGGGACGCGGGACAAATTGTTAAAAATCGGGACTGTCCTGCCAAAAGCGGGACGTCTGGTCACCTTAACCTCAGGGTGGGTACAGGGAAGGACTGAGGAGGAATCCACGCATCAGGGAGGCACTGAAGGGGCGGAGGGACAGGCCGGAGGGCTTCCGGGGCCTCCTGATGGGACTGAAATTAATCTACCTGCAGGGAGTGGGGGGTGAGGCGCTCATCCAGCCGGTGACTCCGGCATGACCCAGCTCACGGTCTTTGATCTGGGGGGGGGGGGGGGGGGGGCTCAGAATGCAGCCGGAGGCTTCTGCTGCCGAAGACTCAGAAAGGAGCTGGGAGGACTGATGAGAACGGAAGCTTGGGGCGGTCTGAGGGTCTGAGCACAGGGCCACCTGCCATTCCGACCCCTCCCCGCCCCCAGAGCCACACGGGGTGTCTGGTGCAGCCCACTCTGCCCTGAAATCCACTACAGTTTGGCTCCGTTTCTGCTTTCCTGTCCCCCTCGAGTCTGCCCTGCATTCCCGCCCCGCCATCAGCCTGGCCATGGCGGTAAGCTAGAGCTTCAGTCATTCCCAAACCCCCCTTCTCTCCCCTCCCGCGTCCTGGTGTCAGGTTGCAATGGGTGATGGGGGACCAGGGTGGGCCCTGAATTGGGGGGCTGGGTCAGTCCTGCCAAGAGACGGGGGAGGGACCAATTGGCTTTGGAAGGGTCCCCTCTCTCTCCCTAGCCAGCCTAGGCAGAGTGGGAAATGGCTGGCATCTCCCCATGTTCCAGGCGAGGACACCAAGGCACTTAGCAAGAGGAGAGGCCATGGGGCCTGAGCACTTGAGAAATCGTCTCCTGGGAGCTGACCTGCCTTCCCTGGGCCATCGCTCCTCCCCTTTCCTGAAACAGCAAGGCTCATCCTGGGCAGCCAGTGCGGTGGGTGTGTGAGATCTGATGCAGAGTCAGACACCCTGGGGTGGGGGCCCGGCTATGTGACCGGTGTGCTGCGGAAACTCTCTGAGCTCCAGTGTCCCGATTTCTAACGTGAGGACTGAGCGTGGTCCTCTTTGCCTGAGGGGGGAGGGGGTGGCTGGGTGAGGGGCGCATGCCATGGCGGGGGTGGAAGTGCTTTGTGAACAGTTCAGCTCCCAAGTAGATGCTTCCCTCGGCGCAGGAGGCAGGTCCCAGCTGCCTGCCCAGGTGTCTCCCGTCCCCTGTGCTGGCCCAACATCTGTAAGAGAGGTTGGAACTAGGAGGGTGGAGCCAGCAAACCTTTTCCCTGCAGGGGTGTGTGTGTGTGTGTGTGTGTGTGTGTGTGTGTGTGTGTGTGTGAGAGAGAGAGAGAGAGAGAGAGAGAGAGAGAGAGAGAGAGAGAGGGAGAGAGAGAGAAAGAGTCAATAGGGTCATTGAATTCAGCCTTATTGGGGCAGGAGTCTGCGTACCCACACCTGCCGTACCCACACCTGCCGTGTTGAAAGATGGCTACAGACACATTCCTGAAGCATCAAAGGGCCCGCTGTGCTGTGTGGGAGACAGACAGGGAGGAGGGTGGGCTGGGGAAGGTGGGGAAGTGCCTGGGGGAGGCGGACGGAGAAATGTGGGGCCCTGCTGTTTCCTTGCCCTGTGCCCTCTCCCAGGTGTGCCAGGCTCACTCTGGCTGGGAGCTGGGTGTGGCCGAGTAAGGAGGCCTCTGACGCAGGCACTGAGGAAGCTCAGAGAGGGAAGAGTGCCCCCCCTCCACCGCCCCAATATCTCCCTCCCACGGACAGCCTCAGGGACATGAGCAGGAGAAGGTCCCCACCTCCCTGCCTGTGACGGCCTGCCACCCTGCAAGCCGCCAGCCCCACAGACCCCTAATCAGAGTGACAGCTCCAGGGAGCCTCTGGGGAGCGTGCCTGGAGGTCCTACTCCCATCCCGTTATCACCCTCCCAGGGAACAAGGACTGTCCAGGAACAGAGCAGTGTGTTCAGGCCCCTCAAGCCTCCGTGAACACAGGTGTGGCTCTCTCCACTTCCCAGGCTGCCCTGCAGGCCGCACCCAAACAGCTCTCTGCTATGGCCCAGTCTTGAGGTTCCTATGCACCCACCGCCAATAAAGAGGGAATATGCAAACTAATGCAACAAGGTGCGAGGCGGAAGGCGGCTATGGGGGCAGGAGAGAAGGCAGAAAGGTGGCTGTGGCCAGAGCAAAGGTGGTGCTGGCAGCCAGGGGAAGGAAGGCCCATTCCTGCACAAATCTTTGTCCCGAAGCACAAAGTGTGTCAATTATATCTCAATAAAGTGGGGGGAAATATGAATTCTCCAAACAATGGCTTAGGGGGTTGCCTGAAAGTATTTGATGAATTAACGAGTGCCTTTTGGACTCACACACACACACACACACATACGCACTCTCTCTCTCTCTCTCTCTAGAAACATTATATGGTCAGATATGCTTTTACTCAGATTCACACCCTCGGTGTCCCCACAGGCTCAGGTGGAGGAACTGGCAGCAGCCATCAGAGCACCCGCTGCTTTGCTAATGCAGTGACCTCCGCCTCCTATGTCCCTTCTCCGTGTCCCAAGCTCAGCACGCCCACTTCCTTCAGGAGGCCTTTCCTGGTGCCCCCGGGGATAACTGACCTCTGCCCCCGGGATATCCCTGGGGATACGTCCCACGAAGCACCCACAATATTCATCTGCTCTTTCTGTGTCTGTCTCAGCCCGAAAGACAGATTCGGTCTTGGCCGGAAGGGGGAGGGGCTGTGAGGAGGGAGACTGGAACGTATTTGTCTCCAAGCCCCAGGCGCTCGTGCAGAGAACACAGTGGGTGCCCACCTATTCACCAGAAGAACAGGCAGCCTGCTGAGAGTTCAGAGTGTAGCCCTCCGGCAAAGCCACGGACCTGGCTGCAAGCTAAGTCTCCAGCGGCCGCCCCCCCAGAACCAGGCAGACGTTCCCACCCTTCCCAGCTCCCGCACCGGGCCTGCCTCTCCTCATTTCCCCCATGGCCCCTATGGGCCTGTCAGCCGGGATCACCCTCACGAATCCATTCACCCATTTTCCCCAGAAATCAGCCAGCTGCTCCTTGGTGCTTGCAGCCAAACCTCTGCAAAGTCATCGCAGCCAGGGAGAAGCAGAAATCCTGGCCGGGAGTGCAGTGGCCGGAGGAACAGGGGCTTCCCTAGTCCACCCCTCGGCAGGAGTGTCATGCACCTTGCTAACCATGACCTTCAGAGACCACAGTAGCATCCTGGGATCCCCTGCAGGCAAGGCCTTTGTCTGAAAGTCTGTCCCTGCCAGGGGGCTCCAGACTGGGGTCATGATCCCAAAAGTCCCCACAGGGAGGCCCTCCAGACCAGAAAGACCTCAGGGGAGGCTTCAGCCCTAGAGATCCTCAGATCCAAGAGGGTTGTCCAAATGCAAAATATATATATATATATATTGACAGCATCTGGGGGACTTCAGATGCTAAAATGCATCGAAGGTATCCCAGACCCCAAGACCCCACAGAGAGAAGCCACAGACCCAGCCCTCGGAGGGGCCCGGAGCCAGGTTTGTGGGCACAGGGCCCCCCTGCACTGACCTGGCCCTGCGGGGGCCTTTCCCAGGCTGAGCTGCCGCAGCCGCCTCTGGTGGGCCCGCCCCTCGCAGTGCACCTGGGCCTGGGCCGCCGAGTTCAGCTGGATGTTGCAGACGTCGCAGAGCGTGAACGACGGCCGCTTCCTCTCACGCTTGGGCTTGGGCGGTTCTGGGGGCTGAGGGGGGCACTCGGCCGCTCCAGATACGGGGGGCTCCTTCTCGGCAGGGGGAGACGGGCTCAGCGGCCGCTTCATTCCTGAACAGATAGAGAGGGAGACAAATACAACAAAGGCTGAGTGTTGTGAGCACACAGGAGGGGCACGGCGGCCTCCAGATCCAGAGATAGCTGGGACTTTCATCCCAGCTGGACGTCCCCCGCCTCTGGAGAGCCCCAACCTGAGGGTGGCCAGGGGAGCAGAGTGGGGCCTATTTCAAACAAAGCAGCATTCATCACAAGGCAGGAGCGTCTGGAAGAGAGTCAGGAAGGTGCGCACACGGGGCGGCCTGGGCCTGGGGGCGCGGCCACAGAGCGGGGCTGAGCGTGAGGGGAGCTCGGGTCTCAGGGAGCAGGCGGGCACACGGGGCCAGGCGGCAGTGAGCTTGGTGCAGCCCCGTGTTGGGAAGCCAGCGCTCGGTCCTCAGGGCCCTCGGCGCCGCGGCAGGCGCTGACAATCCTGACAGGCAGGCATGTGGCGCTTGCTGGAGGCACAGCCCTCGCTGGCCAGGGTGGTGACTGCAGAAACCCAACCTCCCTGTGGCCAGGGCCCGGCCCGCTGACCTTCACAAACGGTGGCAGCGTGTGAAGCCATCGGCACCCCGACCCACGTGGCTCCAGATGGTCCCTGCGGTCTTGGCCATCCAGCTTGTGGCAACAGTTAGTGTTGGTAGTGGAGACCTCGGCCTTACACAGACACCACACACACACTCATACACACACACACACACACACACACACACACACACGCACGCACGCGCACACGCGCGCACACACACCCTGGTTCCCACAGAACTGGCACATCACCCCCTCAGGCCCCTCATCTCCAGTCTTCTCTTTCCAACTCACTTCTCTGGAGCTTTCCCACCGGACGCCTCTGCCTCTCAGGGGCTCTCTTCTGGGGCTGCTCAGTGCCCTGCCTCAGGCTGCCCTGGGCCAGCGTTCACTTCCTTCCTGCACCGGTGTGCGTGCCTCCCACCTCTGCTTTAGACCGGGGGCTTCCTGAGGGCGGGGCCTCTGTCCCCCTCCCCCGGACTGAGAATTCCTGAGGTCAGGGACCCTGTCACTCTCTCTGATTGGGGGAATCCCCAAGGCTCACACCTACGTGGGGCATAACTGAGACTCTCTCATGGGCTGAACTGTGTCCACCAAGAATTCCCATGTTGGGGTCCTCACTCCCAGTACCTCAGAATGGGACTGTGTTCAGAGAGACAGTCTTTAAATAGGTGATTACGTGAAGATGAGGCCAGTAGGGTGGGCCCTGACTCAACAGGATATGTCCTTGTCAGAAGAGGAAGCACAGACAGTTACAGAGGGAAGGCCACGGGAAGACACAGGGAGGAGATAGCCATCTGCAAGCCGAGGGGAGAAGCCTCCGAGGAAACTGAGCCTGTGGACACCTGCATCTCACATGGCTGGCCTCCGGAGCCGTGAGAAAATACATTTCTGCTGTGTAAGCCACCCAATCAGTGGTAACTTCTTATAGCAGCCCGAGTGAACTCACACAGTCCCTAAAGAGCATTTCCCGATCCTGAGGCTCATGCTCATTTTGAAAATTAGACCAAGTGAAGCCAAAACCGGTTTGGCTCAGTGGATAAAGCGTCGGCCTGCGAACTGAGGGGTCCCGGGTTCGATTCCAGTCAAGGGCATGTACCTTGGTTGCGGGCGCATCCCCAGTGAGGGGTGTGCAGGAGGCAGATGATTGATGTTTTTCTCTCATTGATGTTACTAACGATCCCTCTCCCTTCCTCTCTGTAAAAAAATCAATAAAATCTATTAAAAAAAAAGAAGAAAATTAGACCAAGTGAAGCCAACTGATGCCCTAACACTCTCATAAGCCCACATATCCAATGGTGGAGCCCACAACTGAACAAAGAAAATGGATGTCTCAAGTCCACAGCCAAGAACTGGGAGTCCCCGGACCCACCCGCTGCTCTCAGAAACCTGCTCATCAATTCTGTGGGCAGTGCTCCCACATAACATATCTGTCATTACATGTGTGGGGACCATTGTGAATGGACTAGAGGGACACAGCGATTAAGAGTGCCGGTGTGCTCAGTGTTAGAGCATCAGCCCATGCATCCAAGGGGCGCAGTTTTGATTCCCAGTCAAGGGCATGTATCTGGGCTGCAGGTTCAGTCCCCAGCCCTGGTCAGGGTGTGTGTGGGAGGCAACCAATTGATGTGTTTCTCCCACATAGATCTCTCTCTATCCTTCTCTCTATTCCCCCCTTTTACTCTCTAAAAATCAATGGAGTCCTAACCAGTTTGGTTAGAGCATCAGCCTGTAAAATGGGATGATGACTAACAGTTCTTAAGTCACAAGCATAATGCAAGGATTAGCTGAACTGAAGATATGACAGTCTCATTCCATGCTAGGGGCACCGTAACAATGTGAGTGTTACGGTGCCCGTAGCATGGAATGAGACTGTCACTGACCCTCTGAGACTCGCCACGTGTGATGGGTTAAATGGTGCCCCCTCAGATTCGTAGGTTGAAATCCCAGCACTTCGGAATATGAAACACAAAACCTTGTTTGGAAATGGGGTCATTGCAGAAATTATTAGGTTAAGACGAGGCAATACTGGAGCAGGGCGCCCCCCTAGTCCAATATGACTAGTGTAATTCTTATAAAGGGGGGGGTTTGGACACAATCATTCACACAGAGAATGCCACGTGAAGACGACGGTGGAGATCAGAGTGATGCTTCTTACCAGACCAAGGAATGCCAAACTTAGCCAGCAAACCACAGAAGCGAGGGCAGAGGCATGGAGCAGACTTCCTCCCTGCCCTCAGAAGGAACCAACCTCGATGACGCTTTGATCTTGACCTTCTAGACGCCAGAACTATGAGACAACAAACGCCTGCTGTTTAGACCACCTGGCTTGTAGTCCTTTGTGACAGCAGCCCTAGAAAACACACCACGGATTTGACTCTTGTGTGATCATGGGTGATGTGAGGGCCCCCTTCTCTCTGCATGGTGGTGTGGCTGGGGTGCAGTACCAGAGAGAGCCTCCAGGTGGCACAGCAGTGAGCACCAGGCGGCAAGATAAGAGGTGGAACTCAGGACCCCTCCACGGAGGGAGGATCCCACTCCTCCACACTCCTCTGGGGCAACGAGGTTGCCCCTCCGAGGCATGCCAAGCGCCCGAGCAATATGTCTGGAGTCCAGGGCACAGCCCTGCCACACTGGAAAGCCACTCCCATCACCTTGTGAGAACCCCACCCCCATCTCCAAGGCTGCACTGAGCCTCTGCCAACATTCTGTGCGCTCTCACCTCCAGCTGGAGGTCACCACAGCTATCTCCTTCTTCACAAGTGTTTCCCCACCCTCCCAGCAGGAAGAAAGGGCAGGCAGAAAGCGCCAGGTGCAAATACTGCAGGGGGGGAGGGGTGTCCAACTGGCCAGGGGGAAGAGGTGTCAGGGTAATGAGATTTTTCCGGCCATGCCAAGGGAGCTGCCTGCCCCCTGCCAGAAAGGGGACAGGGAGGGTTTGAAGTCTCAATGCAATTTATGACAGGCGGGCCGGGGACATGGCTCAAGAGAGCAGACAAATATCTGCCACGAGGCTGATTAAACCTCCGTGATATACAGCCTCCGGGCTCACCGGGCCCTCCGGAAGCCGGGGCTGACTGTGTCCCCCTCGGCCGGGCTGCCGGGCCTGCCGCAGCCTGCCCTGCCTTCCCAGCTGTCCCCTCGGGAGTTACACCGCTCCGGCCGAGCTAGGGCGCCCCCCAGAGAAGGTGGGGGGGTGGGCAGTTTTTCGGGCACATAAACATCTATCGAACCCCCGTCACCAGCACCAGCAGGTCCGCACTCCCTGTCCTGGCCCCTGTTCAGAACCAGCATGACTCACCCTAGCCCAGCGGGACCCACCCGTGGACAGGGCCTGGCCCACAGGCTCTCTTTGACAGAAGAGGAAATGGAGTCCCAGAGCAGGAGAGTGGACTTCCTTCAAAGCACACGGCAGGGCAAGAGCTGAATCTAGAGACGCCCCCACCCCCTCTCTGCCTCCTCGCTGCCAGGCCACCCCTTCTTCCCGGCGACAACCGCTTCCTGACAGCTGCCTGTGCGCCGGGAGCCGTACGCACAAAGGTCCCTCTGCACCTTCACCACAACCCCATGAGGTGGGCACTATTATTAACCTATTACCCCACGTCACCGATGAGAGGACAGGCTCCGAGAGGTTTTATGGCCGGACCTGTACTTGAACTTGTCTGACTCAGGGCTCCCAGAGAGGGAGGCTTGTGGCTGCCCAGCCCCTCTCAGGCCGGGGTGCCAGGCAGGGAGATGCCACATCCTGGTCAGGAGGAGTTGGAGCCGGAGCCAGAGAGGCTGGGAGGAAGGAAAGGGTGGGAAGAAAGGGGGTGAACTGAACGTAAGAACAGGTGAAAGCCGAGCAAAAGAGCATGGGTGTGTCCAGGTGTGTGCTTAGCTGTGATCTACACAGGAGTGTGTGTGTGTGTGTGTGTATGGGGGGAGGGGGGTAAATCCCTGTGTTCTCACCTTCCCTGAGAGATGGGTTGAGGCTGAAGCAGGAAGGGGGAGGTTGGACAACGGGAGCGAGCCACCCACTGGAAGGCCTGCTTACTCCAGAGCTGGAGAGCTGATGGAGGCTGGGGTTGCTGTCTGCCTGCCTGTCTGAGGGTCCATCTGCCTGTCTGTGTGTCCATCTGCCTGTCTGTGTGTCCACCTGTACGGAGCTGCAGGGATGAGGGGGTGGTGGGAGCACTACCTGGAGCCCCATCTTGCTAAGTGACAATGGACTTGGGCTGGGTTTCCGTGGGGACCTCTGGCTTGGCAGTAAGGGGAATTCTCAGTCTGCCTATCCAGAGAGGCCTGGACAGAAGGAAGTTCGGAGGTCATAAAATGCAGGGCAGAGGGGTTTCCAGCAGCAGCCTGGGGAAGGGGCTCCTGGAGAAAGAACTACTTTTGCCAAAGGGTTAACGGGAGAGGAAGGTTCTGGGCTTGTCCCCAGCCCTTGGCCAGGCCTGAAGGGCTCCCTCACCAAACCTTTAATGAGCCCAATTACATTCTGGCCT